CTGAAGGGTTTTGAGTGGTATAGGATGTTCATACTTTCAGTGTTGCTTCTCCTTTACAAATGAGCATAACTCTTCTACATACCATGTTACTGACTTTTCAGGAGGCGATGAATGGAAGATTGTTGCTGACAAACTGGGTTTCGAAGATGCGTACATTCGTTGTTTTGACCAACGTTTTAAAAACCCTGTTGATCTTATTTTACAGCACTGTAAATTAGATGTGGGACAACTCTACGACGTGCTGGTCGAATGTGAGTTTCCTGCACTCGCGGATTTGTTGTAGGAGGAACCAGTTTTTCCTCGTGCATTCTATTTGTTCAAGGTTTTAATTCACGAGCTATGATCAAACGGAGTGTATGGCTACGTAATAGGTGTTTAGTTGTGTTCGTTAAGTATTTATACTCTCGCGGGATGAATTGTTAAAACTAGATGCATCCAAAGAAGATAGAAGCTCCAAGAAATAGAATATTAAGTAGCTAGTGATATGTATTTAGTTGCATGCAAAAGAACGAAATTTAAGGCTTTCATGATTAAGCGCGACTCTACCGAGGACCCCTGTGGTGTCGGTTGTCAAACAGGTTTTACTCTTATCCATCGATCAATATCATTGGTCATGTACTACGTGTTATTTTTCGACTTATGTGATATGTGGTGGTCACAAAATATCATTTGATGGCCTGAAAACTGATGTAAATTAAATGGAAAATATAATCCGCCAACCAATCCGCCAAATGTTTGTTAAATTTGAGATAGTTGCTGGTTCACCAAAAAACAAAAAAGAAAAACTCCCCCAGAGCAAGAAAAAAGAAAATTGTGAATAACCGACTCGTGTATATTTTAAAGGAAGTTTTCTGCCTCTAAGATTTGATTTGTAATCTTATATTGTCTACTTTTATATCTGGCATTCCTTGTAGATGTAGTTAAAAAATTGCTTCATTGCACAAGCGCCGACCATTCCATGAAAGGTAGCGCAAAGGTGGTGTAAGTAGCAGATATCATAACCCATCTGTAGCTTTTTGCGCAATTTTAAAGGCTACTTTATGTCACTTGGTGCAAAATCATGGGAAAGTTATCACGCATCAACTCCCGTTTGCGTCAATAGTTTTCTTCGGTTATTTCCAATAACAGAAAAAGTCAGCGGGAAAAGGTGGCTCAAGAATTTTATCAAGAAATATTTGATATTTTACATGGAGATAAACAATCTCTTGTTTTCAGAGCCCAGTGATAGTTAAATAAAAACGCTGGTCCACCAAAAAAATACATTGTAAGGGTCTTGGAAGGTAAAGAAAGTTACGAGTATACTTTTAGATTTAGTGCCACGTAAAGTCAAACTAAGTCATTTATCAAACAACAACAAACATATGAAACATATGTATGAACTGCGGTTATGAAACGTATATGTGCACGATCGTGCACATATACGTTTCATAACCGCAGTTCATACATATGTTTCATATGTTTGTTGTTGTTTGATAAATGACTTAGTTTGACTTTACGTGGCACTAAATCTAAAAGTATACTCGTAACTTTCTTTACCTTCCAAGACCCTTACAATGTATTTTTTTGGTGGACCAGCGTTTTTATTTCACTATCACTGGGCTCTGAAAACAAGAGATTGTTTATCTCCATGCAAAATATCAAATATTTCTTGATAAAATTCTTGAGCCACCTTTTCCCGCTGACTTTTTCTGTTATTGGAAATAACCGAAGAAAACTATTGACGCAAACGGGAGTTGATGCGTGATAACTTTCCCATGATTTTGCACCAAGTGACATAAAGTAGCCTTTAAAATTGCGCAAAAA